GTGCCAGCGCAGCCTTGAACACACCCCGTGGTGACTCCTCTATTCCAACCACCTCCTGGGCTCCCGGGCAAATAGCCCTGTGCCAGCCCAATGGGGACTTCACAGCGTCACTTCTACTGTCCCTCCCAGAGCCCACGTTCTGTTTTTTTCATTCCCCTCCCCAGCGCATACATACAGCTGGGCAGACTGCAGGGGCATTTACAGGCTGGCAGGATGGTAGCTGCTCCTGGGCGTGCCCTGAGGACACACCTTCACTCCCAGTCTCAGCGGACACCGTGGGGGGTCGGTTTGAAGGAGGGCTGTGTGCTGCTCCAGGGCCCCGCCAGCCTCCCTGCCACCTCCCGGTCTGCAGAGCTTCCGGCAGGCACAGGCAGCCTCTCCTGGGCCGGCAAAGCCAGGGGGAGCTCTGCTGGGACAGGGAGGCTCTGACCCCAGCCTCCTCCCTGCCCCAGGGTCTCATCCAAGCCCTGAGACGTAGTGAAATATCAGACCAGCAATCAGCACCACCACACCACGTCTTAGAAATGCCGAATGTCCCCTCCTCTCCAGACCGGCGAATCAGAATCTCTGGGGTAGGGACCAGCGGTCTGTTCAGCCACCTTCCTGGGTGACTCTGACACATGCTGAGGTCCACAGGCACCGTTCTAGACAGTCTGGCCGAAGCACACTGGGGTGAGAACACTCGCCCACGGTGTCACTCACTCGTCCGCTCACCAAAGACTTTTTGCGTGCCTGATGTGTGCAGGCCCTGGTCTAGGCCCTGGGGACACACAAGACAAAACCCCCGGCCTGGTGAGTTACATCCCAGAGAGGAGACACACGACATAGAAAATCCGAGCACACAGTGTGTAGCATGTTAGCAGGCGGAGGGGATGGGGCAGGAGGAGGGGAAGGGGGTGGCCGGCCTGGCCGGGGTTGCAATTTTCCATCGGCCCACTGCACCTTAGGAGCTCATGGAGGTGCCGGGCAGACCTAGGACTTTGCCACTGTGTCCCCGCCAGCCCCTGGCCTGTGTGCTTGGAGACGGCCGGGGAGCCGAGCCCACTGAGTCCTAAGGCCACCAGAACCCGGGCGTGTGGTGGGAGCCGGGGAGGGCTCCCAGCAGAGGCAGAGTGTGGTTGAACTTGGGCCTACCGAGATCCCTCTGGCGGCTGGGGGAGACCAAGGTGGAGCAGGAGGCTACGTCAGCCAGTAATCCAGTAAAGAGATGACAGCGGCTTAGATCCTGTAATAGCGATAAAGTGGGTAGGAAATGATCAGTCTCCAGAGTTTATTTTTAAATTTATTTTAACTGTGGCATAATCACATGACGTAAGAGCTACCATCGCAACCGTGTTTAAGTGCACAGTTCAGTGGCGTCAGGTACATTCACAGTGTCGTGCAGCCACCACCACCACTGAGCCACGGAACTCTTAATCTCGCAAAGCTGAATCTCTGTCCCCATCAGACACTCACTCCCTGTTCCCCAGCCCCCAGCCCCTGGCAGCCACCATCCTACCTTTTGTCTCTACAAATTTAACTACTCTAAGTACTTCATCCAAGCGGAATCACACAGCATTTGTCCTTTGGTGATGGCTGTGGTAGTTGGCATAGTGTTTTAAAGGCTCATCCGTGTTGCAGCAGGTATAATATCAGAACTGCCATCCTTTCTAAGGCTGAACAGTATTCCGTTGCATGGACAGAGCACATTGCGTTTATCCATTCACCTGGCAGTGGTGCAGATTCTGCGTGTACTTTGAAAACAGAGCCAAGAGGATGGGTCTGGAGAAGGTGCAGAGAAAGTGCAGAGCTGAAAACGACTCTAAGGTGTTTGGTTGAGCAAGGAAGGATGGCACAAGCAGCCTTTGGGGGGTCAGGAGGTCAGTTCCGGAAGTCACCTGAGCTATTAGCTTTCCCGGAGGAGATGTCAGCCAGCCAGTCGGGGCTTGGAGCTCAGGGAAGGTCTTGGTGGAGGTACACATTCTAGGGGTGTCCGTGTAGACCGGTATGTGGTGTCTAAATCCATGGTTTTGGATGGGCCTCCCAAGGAGCAAGAAAAGGGCTAAGAACAGCCCTGGGAAAGCTCAGGGTTCAGAGTTCAGGAGATGAGGGGAATCAGAGGAGCCGGAGACGGAGTGTCTGGGAAGGGGTGTGTCCTGGAGGACAGGTGACGGTCGTGCTGCCAAACTTATCTGATGGCAGAGAGGTCACAAAAGGCCCTTCTGAGGGTTGCATTGAATTCAGCAACGTGCAGCCGCTGGTGACGCCAGGAGAGCAGTGGGGGAGCCGTGTTTGCAGAGTCTAGAGGTGGGGTTAGGGGATGGGAGGGGGAGATTGTGCAACTGGGCAGCTTTGCACAAGAAAAGCTTTGTTTCATTCTGCCTGTTTTGTAAGATGGGAGATGTACCATGCGAGGAAGAGTTGCGCAGAGAGGGAAAACAGGCCCTGTAGGGGACGGGAGAAAAGGGTTGGAGCTGTGGCCTTGCGTCGGGGTCTGGGACCCAGGGCACCAGAGGAGGACACGGACCGGCGGTCCTCAGTGACAGGAGGGACGGTGAATACGTGGCACAGACGCCAGCAGGGAGGTGAGCTGCCTCTGTTTCCCCATTGGAGGGAAGAGTGCAGCAGTCTGCCGGGAGTGAGGACGGGGAAGGTGCTGGGGACTTGAGGCCAATCTAGGCTAGTTGTCCAGGTGGGCGGACACTAAACAGGCGTGGGAAACAGAGTCTGATCGCCGGCAGCACCGAGGACCCATCAGAAGCCGCGGTTAGGACTCCGAGGTGCATCGGAGTGAGCAGGGCTGGGCTGTGGGGCGAGCGGGTGCCTGCGGGCTGGGCAAGGGAGCAGGGCCCGGCCCAGGGGCGGGGGCGGGGGCGGTTCAGGCACCGACCACAGAAGCGAAACCGCACAAGGACGGAGGGTGCCCGGCGTTTGTGGCAGAGCTGGGGTGAGAAGCTGGGGCTCCTACACCCCGGACCTGAGCTCCTGTCCGGAAACCACGTGAGGCGTCTCAGGACAGGAAACCCCGCTTCACCCGCTGATGTCCGCAACGGCGCGAAGCACATACGGTGGTTTGAGTGTCCTCTGTGCCCCTGGCTTGTGACAGCCCTGTGCGAGCGTCTGGATTTTCTAGGCCTTGTCATCTGGCAAGGAGATGGCGGGGCTGTCCCAGCTCCAACAGGGAGCCTGAGGCACGGGCGCCAGGCAACAGCGTCATGAGTATTTGTTGAAGGAGCAACGAATGAAGTAATTTCTGGCCTTAAAGTTTCCATTGACTCTAGTGGTTTTCTGTCTTTTGTTTCTGTGGCAGTTTTGAGTATTACATTTTGGGCAATTGAATATTAAATCTCCACTTGAAGAAGTTAAAAATTTGTCTATATCACACTCAATAAGTGAGCGATATTTACAACATAATCCCCAGTGCCATTGTATAGCGTATAGCTGTCTCAGAGTGTCACGAAGTCCCAACAATTACTGTGCAGTTCCTTTTTGTCACCACCAATGCTATGATCGAAGTCTCCCCCTACCCTTCTCTCTCATACTGCAAAGTTAACTCGTTCTTAGAGGTCAGGCTCTGAAAGTCAACACCTAAGGAGAAAATAGTTTAATGAGATTTACCCTTGAAAATAATCAAACGTGTCTAATAAATGCAAAATTCCTGTTTGCGCGTGCCAATCTCTGCCCCGATGGGCATGTTAGTACGCTGTAGTGTGCAGTGCACAAACAAACGGTGGTATGCAACATTAGAGGTGCAGTATTTTTGATAGAATAAAAGGACAAAGAGTTAGAATCCACTTAAATTCTCAAATCAGACAATTCCCTTGTATATTTACAAGGCATAGTTCTGTCATATCCGGGCAAACTCACCAGTTCTCTGTCCCCAGCTAGACCAATCACCTCAATTATCCACTCATTTGGGGCGGAGGTGGTGCAGGGAAGATCTTCAGGTCCCACGAATCCAAAGCAACTGCCTAATCGAAAATTCTGGAGCCGTAAACCCAGAGTTTAAAAAAGAGACTATCTCTAGCAAATCTCTTCCCTATGAAGAGTAAAAAAGAGAAAAAATAAAAATAAATAAATAAAAAATAAAATTAAGAAAAAAAAGAGACTATCTATAAACTAACAGACAACTGCTGAAGGGGGGGGGTGTGGCGGTCCCTCTGGAAGGTAGGTGCTGTTTTCACATCTAGGCTAAAGCGGACGCTTCCAGGTGCAAGACCACAGACTGCGAGGGGACAGTGACCGGTTGTCAGGGTCTCAAAGGCCACGTGGAAGAGCGGCCCCAGCGCAGGGTACTGGTTTCCAAAGTTGTGCAGATGCTGTTGTGGAGAATAAACTACACGTTTGTTCTGTAGCACCACGAAACTCATAGTCACTTTTACTCGGTTTTACGAGTTCTCAATCAGCGTGTTCCAAGCATACAATCGCTAGGACGTGGGCTTTGCAAGATCTATACCTTTCAAGTCTAGAAAGCTCTGGCCCAGACGGCGTAGCAAAGCGCTCTCACCAGGCCTCCCTGCCCTCCGCCCCACCAAGGAGTCCCTGTCCCTTTAGGTTCTGCGTTTCCAGCTGAGAGCTCTGGCAGACAGGAGAGCAGATGGAGGCAGGGAGACGTGGCAATCTCATTATCCCCGCTGCCAGCACGCTCCGTTCCACTGCCTCCCGTGCAGAGGCCGAAAGGAAGGTGGGAAAGAGCCACTTTGGGTTTGGATAGTGTCCCCATGATCAGAAAAGCAACCTTTCGGTGGACGTACAAACTGGCTTTCTTCAGTCTTGGGAATCCCAGCTTGAGCGTCCCAATTTCTTACGATGTCTGTGCTTCCTGCTCTTCCTCCCAATCAGATTTTATAAGCAGATCCTTTGGTTTTAGAAACGTACTGTCTGGGCCAAGAATGGCAACTGGCCAGTGACTGATTAGAGACGTCCGGCATTGGCAGCGTGTCAGAGAGCTACAGCTGCCTGCTGTGAACCTCCATCCTCATCCAGGCCACTCTCTGGGCAGCCTCCCCTAGAAACCCTGTCCCAAGTCCCCAGGCGAAGCGGAAAAATACCTGTTTCTACAGACTGCTCAGGAATTAGGTCGTGAAATGAATTTTGGAGAGCAACCGCATGTGGTAAGTTTCTGAAAATTCTATTTGGATAATCATTTCTCTTTTATTTCCCCCTTGTCTATGAAATCATAATGCACACATTTAGCAAAAAGTACTCAAAAATCATGCATATCCTTCAGATTTGTTGCAAAGCAGCTTTCAATGGATGAAACAGAGTTGTGTTAAAGCAGCATTTTGTCACACTTCATGGGTGACAGTGGCCTCTCCTGGGGCAGAGAAAGAGCACTGGCATGCAAATCAGGAGACCTACTTTGTGTGATCTTGCAAGTATCGATTAACCTCTCTTGGCCTGGGGGGGTGGGAGGTGGCAGTGGATTGATGGTCAACAGGGACATTCCCAGTGTTCCTTGTTGATTTCATGCCTGGACAAACAAACATGCATAGTCATGTGTTTTTGGAGTCCCCAGGGCATCGTACCCCAGAACTTTTGGGGGGCAGGGGTATGCCCTTAAATAATATCCAATCTCCCAATAAGGAAAACATTCTCCTCTCAATGTGCTTTGTTCCTTTTAACTAAGGCAGTCCCCTCACAGTCCTGTTTCTCTGTCTCTAACACCCGAGCCCCTCTTGCTGAACTCCTTGCCACAAAGACAGAGCCAGGCCTGGGGTCCACAAGAAGTCACTGCGATTTTGCGTTCCATGGGTTCATCTTCATGGCTATCTTCTACTTGTTTTGTGTCCAATATTGGATTTCCATTTACTGTAGGGAGTGACAAAAGATTTTTCTTTCAAATGAAACGTATTTTAGTGAACAAGTTAGTTCATAGAAAAAAATGTTAATATCACAGGTGGTACCTAGATGTTGAAAAAAATATGGCACGGGCACACATACACAGATGTACGTGACGTTTGGAAGTTTTCATTTAATTATTTAGGGGGGCATTTATTTATCGATGGCTTAAGAACACCCATCGTACTGCCTCTGAATTGCAGGGGGGTCTAAAAGGAATTGTTTTCTCTCTTGTTCTGAGTTTCTGTGGGCTCAATCCATGCAGTTGCAGGATGTGGCCACCAGATGGGGCTTCTCCCTTTGTGTCTGAGACGGCAGCGGCCATGGCAATGGCTCCCTGCCTTGTTTCACGTTCTGATTCGAATTATCCCACCATCTTCTGAACTTAATCAAAACCATTATGGCTAATAGATTCCACAAATGTTCCCTACCATTCAGCTCTCAGCCCAAATGTCACCTCCTCAGCAAGGCCTCCCCTCCCCCCCCTTCCACCTGACCCTGCTCTCTCCCCATGATTGCACCTACACCTATCTTAGGTGTGTGTTAACGCGGCAACCGTGTTCCGCCCCCCCACGCCGGAAGGTAAGTTCCTCAAGGGCCAGGGCTCTGCCTAGGAACAGCATCTGGCATACAGTGGGCACTCAATAAATAGCATTCAGTGGCAGAGTGAGCGACCCTCTGGGAGCCACTCAGTTGAAGGCAGCGGGCAGTTGTGCGAGGAGGGCAGGGGTTAGTTAGGTCGGAAAAAATCCGATTCCAAACTTCAGGCTGCCCCGCTCGCAAGCCAGGTGAGACGCTGTTTCCTCAGGTAAGCAGTGGGGAAAGTGGTCGCGGTGGTCGCTGGGCCACTCTGAGGGTGAGGTGGGAGACAACTTTTGTCTGGCACCTGACACACAGTTGGCGCTCAACAAACGTGAGTGGCTCCCCCACCCTTCTCCGGGGAACCGTTCAGAGTAATCAAAATCCACACTGAAAACTCACACTCTCTCCGGGTGCTCTGCCGTGGCCCGGAAGCAGCTCCTTCGCTGGGAGCCCCTGGTGGGGAAGGACGGGCACGGGCCCCTGTGCCCGCTGGTCTGTCTGGCTTGGGAGGACGTTTTGACCTGATCATTTTTATGAGAAATGGTTCTCAACCTTCCCCCCGCCCCCAAACACTAAGAAATGTGCACAAAAGTCATCTTCTGGATCTTTCCCCACCCTGGCCTCGCCCCTTGAGTCCCTCCACGCTCCTGCTTGCTCTCCTGGGCATCCTTTAGGTTCTCAACCCTTCCTCAGAGCCTGTCACCTGCCGTCCCCGAAAGCCTCTGTCCGAGGCCTTCCCCCGAGGGGCTCTGACTCATCCATCAGGGCTCGGCTCAAATGCCACTTCCTCAGGGAGGCCTTCCCTGATCACAGGCCCACCGAGGCAGCTGCCCCCTGAGGTCTCCTGTTCCGTTTGCACTTACTCGGTGTCTGGCTCTCCCGTTATTTGTTGACGGATAACTTGCCAGTGGACAGTATGTCAAAGTGGCACCGTTTGGCTCTTAGCCACGGTCAGTCTCCACAGCACCAAGGTGGCTGTATCAGAGCGGCGGGGAAGTTTGCTCTGCCCCAGAACATGCCAGAACCTGCCAGAACCTACATCTGTGCGCTGGGTGTTTCTATGCCAACCGTCTGGGCCCTGCTGAGGGGCACTTGCTTCCCTAAATGGCCCCCCAAGTCGATTACAGATGTGCCTCCAGGAAGTCAGGAGACTTGTGTTGATGTCACAGCTCGTGAATTCATAGAGTGGATCTTTGCTACTTAGAAATTCATTTCTCAAAGACAGAAAGACCGCAGGGAGTGAGCACATGCCCAGATCCGGGGGTGGGAGCCAAAAATTGGGAAAGCCCCAAGCCTCACCCCTGCCCTCAGCCTCACCCCTGCCATCAGTACTCACCCCTGCTGTCAGTACTCACCCCTGCCCCCAGTACTTACCCCTGCCCCCAGCCTCACCCCAGTCCCCAGCACTCACCCCTGCTCCCAGCCTCACCCCTGCTCCCAGCCTCACCCCTGCTCCCAGCCTCACTCCTGCCTCTAGCCTCACCCCTGCCTCTAGCCTCACCCCTGCCCTCAGCCTCACCCCTGCCCTCAGTACTCACCCCTGCCCCAAGTACTCACCCCTGCCCCCAGTACTCACCCTTGCCCCCAGCCTCACCCCTGCCCCTAGTACTCACCCCTGCCGCTAGCACTCACCCCTGCTCCCAGCCTCCCCTCCTGTGGCTTCAGGCCCCTGGGGGCTCACATCCTGGGTGCCTGGGGCCTGTCCTCTCCCAGCCTTTCCCTCTGTCGCCACCCTTCCCTGTCTCCTTCTTCATTCTTGGGGTTTATTGACAGTGAAAGCTGCCAGAGCTAGATTCTCCACATTTTATTTGTCCTTGGCTAAAGATGGTGGAATTTCAGAACAATCTACAATGTTCTCTGGCCAATGAAGTCCCTTTGTACGTGTCTGTAGATTCACTGTCAGCTGGAGCCTCCTGACTGCAGCGTTCTCCCCTGGGACACACCTGCCCTGCATTTGGAAGCTGGGCATTTGTGTGTACGTGTGTGTAGAAGGGTGTGTTGCAGAGTTTTTGTTATTGTTGCTAAAAATTTTGTCTGTTCAGGTAAATGGGTTTGAACTACAGTGGATTTTTGGGGCTTCTTCTTCTAAACATCTATTTAATTATAATCATCTTTGGGTGTAAACTGTCAGAGTGCCGTAGGACACTTTCAGTGTTTGAGGGAATCACAGCGCATCTCTCAGACCGCCACATCCCGGCATCCCCGGGCATGGCTCTAGCCTTGCTCTGCGCCTCTCCAGAACCTGGCAAAGAAGTGGCCGTTCTCGAGCCATTTAAACAGGGCAGCCTTCTAAGAGCAGAACTTGTGACGTGGCTGTTTCATGCCCTTGGAGCAGAGGGAAATCACAGGGGCCAGAAAGAACAATGACACGAACATTCACGACTCACTCGGAGATGGGTGTGGACAGTGAAGGTGAGATGAAAGCTCGGCTCTGAAGGAAGGTGGCAGGGCATTGCCAGTGGTTGTTGCTGCTGGAAACGGTCCCATGGCCACCCACTGGGGACTGGCGGCGTCCCCACGGCCGGGCGTGTGCAGGGTGGATGAGGACCAAGGAACAGAATCCTAACTCCAGATGTTCCTCTACTTGCGATGGAGTTACATCCTGATAAATCCGTCATAAATTGAAAATATCATAAGTTAAAAACACATGTGACACACCTAACCTTGAACATCACAGCTTAGCCAGCCTACTTTAAACGTGCTTGGAACAATTACATCAGCTTACAGTTGGACAAAATCTTCCAAATATTAAGTACAAATATTAAGTACCTATTTTGTAATTATGGAAGAATATCATACCACATATTACTAGTCCAGGAAAAGGTCAAAATGCAAAATTCAAAGCATGGTTTCTACTAAATGTATATGGTCTTCCTGCCACCATCGTAAAGCTGAAAAATCGTTAAGTTGAACCATCATAAGCTGAGGACTGCCTGTATTAATACTTGATAAATAGAACTGTTGTGTATTTCTTTTGGCCTAGGAGTGCTGTGAAAAAATTGCTGAGGTCCTGAGGGTGCCATTTACCATAAAAGCTTGGGAGCCTCTAGTTTCGAATAAAGTTCTTTGTTCTGGATTTGCAACTTGCACCTGTTTTCTATAGCTTTAGAATTGTTTCAAAATAATATAGGAAGCACAGAGGCCGCTTCACAGTCCTTTGGGAGGTTCTTTGGGGACAGAAGCTTCTGCTTTCTAGGCAGTCACAACTGCAAGCGCTGTGGGCGGGTGGCGGGGCAGAGGGGTCAGGCTCCTGAAACTTCCTCACCGGCCACCTTGGCACAGGTCCTCTGCATCTCCTCGAGCAGACGGGAGTCGTACAAAAGCAAAAATGTGTGCAGCACGATGTCAGAACTGAGAAGGGAATCAGCTCGTCTCCTTCCGCTCCAAGGAAATATATTGAAGAACATCCAATTGGCCATAAGAGGGCAGAGTTGTCAGCTTTTTTTCTTACAAAATTGGGGAAGCATTGGATTTTGAAAAAATAAATAAATAAAAGATGATTCTTCGAAGGTGCCGGTTCTGCACTGAATAAACAAATGTACGATTTGACAGAGAGGTAAATGCAAAGTATTGACTTTGGGCTCCCAAACTGATTTTCCAGGTGCGGACTGGTGTGGACAGCTTGGGGACTGCCAGTCTGCAGGGCACCTGTGCTTCTGAGATTACAGGTCTGTGTCCTTTTCTTAACAAACAAAATGAACTAATGCATGACACCCACATCGAAGGAAGTAACGGTCCCCAGCACTTGGGGCTGGAGTTTTGGATCAATTCTGGGCATCACATTTAAAAGAGACATTGCAATCTGGAGGCTCCACAGAGGGCAGTGTGACTTGGATGACAAAATGTCCCAGAATCACAGCACCTACAGAAGTGGGAAGACGGAGGGGACGTGGTTGGCCCAGAGAAGAGGTGGCCAGTGAGTGAGGACCAGTCCTGCAACGCAGGTTCCCAAGGGCAGAGCAGGAGACTGAAGTGACTCAGGCAGACAGAATTGCACGCAGGAAAGGCTTGCCACTTGGAGCTATCTGACTCCAGAGCCACCTCTGCACAGAAGGGTCAACATGACGTTGGGGACACGAAGCACAGGCTGCCTGAGATGCTGGCCCAGGGTGGCATCCACCTGCCATGCAAAATCAGTGCAGGTGGCGCCGCCGCCATTGAAGTGGGGTGGCAGGCAGGGGAGTGCCACCCACCAGCCTTTCCTTCCCCTCCTCCTCACCCCATGGATGTCCCGGGGCCCTCAGAGCCCCAGGTAAGAGACGTCCAATCCTGGTCTCACCACTCACTAGCCGTGTGACCTTGGGCAGGTCACTTTTTAGGCCTTGTGTGAGACGGGGAACCATAATTGATGTAGTTGGGTGCAATGATGTTCACAAAGGGCCTGACCAGTGCCCGGCACGGCGTGCACTGCCCGGCCTTAGCGCTCATCAGCACAGCTGGCTCAGGCTCTGTCACCGGGTCAGTGTGGGGTCTTTGCCTGCTCCTTGGCCAGAAGAAGGGGAGAGGGGCCGCTCACTGGGCAGAGGAAAGTAAAGCTGTTCTCTGCAGCTGCCTGCAATTCCTGTGGACTTGGGCTCACCTGCAGGCAACCTGGGAGACTCCCTCAGCAATTGTGTCATTGGAGTGATGACTCGCTGCAGGCTAATTTCCTTAGGAAGCAGACGCTGAGAAAGAGTTGGGGCTGTCTTGGAGCTGGGCACCTGGACAGGTGGGAACGGGGGGCAGGTACAGGGAGCAGCCCAGCTGCAGCACAGGCTCAATCTCCAGGGCCGCTGGAGGCAGACTCGCCCTTCAGAGTCACCCCAGTCAGCCCGAGGTCAACAGACCTTTGCATTCCCAGACAATCAGTCACTGGACATGGGCTGCAGGGAAGGGCGTGATGGGGCCGAGGTGGCTCTCTGCAGCAGAGGCAGTGCCCAGAAAAAGGGGCAGAGGCTAAGGGGCGTCTGCCCACAGGCATCCCAGCAGCCGGGGCACCAAGACCTTCACTGAGGGGGACCCAGCAGGTGCTGACAGCCTCCCCCACGTGGTGATGATAGGAGTCGCCGATCACAACTCGTCTGCTCCACTGTGAGCTTCTTGAGGACAAACAGGCAAGATCTGGGCTTGGCCACTGCAGTCTCCACGCCCAGCTCCCACCCAGAGGGGAGGGAGGCCCTCAATGGCTACATGCCTGGTGGTCGAACGACACCTGCTCTTTGCACCCTTTGCAAAACGTGTTACGTTTCTAACCTCTGCCAGGGAGGCGGGCATCACGCAGAGATGGAAGCCCAGAGAGATGGACCGATCTGCTGTCGGAGTGAGAGGCAAGCTGCTGCTGGGACAGGCCCTCGTGCAAGATCATGCGGCCAGCCTGGCCGGCCTAGCAGGTATGATGATCAGATCCAAGATTGGGTCACCCCCTTATTGGACCTCTCACCTCCCCACCGTGACCACATGTCTTCAAGCCAACTTGCCAGGAAGCTAGCCCCGGTGCGTGCCCCATCCCTCCGTGACTCCACCTGCCCTGCCCTCCTGCAAGAGATCCCAGCCCAAGGTTGGCCCTGGGGACAGGCCATGACAAGCAGGGGGTCAGAGCTTGCTGGGACAGAGCCGACGTCACAAGCCATGGTACAGCAGGCAGGCGTTATGATTTGAGGTGTCTCTAGAGGGGTGGAGGAGGAGGTTGGGAGATGTCGGTCAGAGGAACATTTAGAGCAGCAAGGCAAAGAGCAAAGGGCAAAGGTCACAGGTTGGTCGAACCCAGGCCCATATCTACAGGCCCAGTGACCATAAGACACACGTTAAGTTACATTATCTTTCTTGGACTCAGTTTGCTAATCTGTGCAACAGGAATAGCAGCCCTTCTTCATTAGGTTGTTCTAAGATTTATGTCGAATTCCACATGCAAAGGTCCTGGTACTTAGCAGGTGTTGAAGAAATCTTAGCTCCCATCATTATATTCTTTCCTGAGGAAACAAAGAGGCTCTGGGAGGTTGCTTGGGGCCTCTTTGCTCTGCAGCATGTAGGAGAGAAGGAAGGAGGAAGGACCCAGGAGCAGGAGCGGCGACAGCCCTGTGTTTAGGACGGAACAAAAATGCACTGAAAGCTCCAGATTGAGCTACTGTATGGGAATAATTATGGCTGCTATTTTTGCGCATTTGTTTAATAATGTTAATTTGGCGACAGCCTGATATTATAACATCCTCTCCCACGCGGAGGTGGCTTTAGTTCTCTATTCACCGGAATCCATTTGCATTTTTTTCTGCAGGGTTTGGGGCTGAGGAGCTGGTGACTCACAGCTGGGGGAGGCCTCCAGGAAAGGCCCTTTCCAAGTAGGGGAGGCAGGGGCGGGGGCGTTAGCTCCTGGCAAATGTTACCCTGTGCCAATCGGCAACTGCACCGAGGCAGACCCGGAACCTGCCGGCCCCTCTGGGCACGGCTCTAGCGCTGCTCTGGGCCTCTCCAGAACCTGGCAAAGAAGTGGCCATTCTCCAGCCATTTAAACGACACACAATTCTTAGAGCAGATCTTGGGACGTGGTCGTTTCATGCCCTCGGAGCAGAGGGAAAGTGCAGGGCTCAGAAAGAACAATGACACGAACATTCACGACTCAGAGATTTGTGCGGAAAGCGAAGATGGGATGAAAGCGTGGTTCAGAAGGAAGGTGGCAGGATCTTGCGAGTGGATATTGCTGCTGGAAACGGTCCCATGGCCGCCCACTGGGGACTGGCGGCGTCCCCACGGCAGGGCGTGTGCAGCCGCAGGTTGGAATGAGGTCCGACGTGCAGAAACCGGAGCGTGGGCGAGGCGGGGTTTCTCTGTTCTGCACTGTTCCAGCTCACCAGAAAGAAAGAACGGTACCAGAACATCACCGCTTTGCAACCGCTAATGAAATAGTGAGCCTGGGCCGAGGCGATCAACAGCCACTAACTTCACAGAGGAAAGACAGCCAGCTGTCGCCTGCCTCCAGAAGGAGCGTGATTGCCAGCGGGTCAGACCTGCATCCAGTCAAGCCGCTAGACCCACCTACCAATTCACAGGAAATAGAAGGAACAGAACACAGTCATCAAAGCCATGGGGATGCAGTTGGAAAAACCCAGGCTATGGGACACTCGATGGACCAACCGATGCGGAGTAAGAAGGACCCGTAGGTAAAAAGGAACGTAAGAGACCCAAAAGCAATCGCAGTGTAAGGATATGATATGGATCTTGATAAAGTGCAACGTACAGACACCCTATGCATACTTCAGATGATAACTGGGAAAATCTCAACATCGAACTGGATATTTGATGAAATTAAGGAATCGTTATTCTTTTAAGTGTATAATCAGCACTGTGATTTTTCGCAGAAATACAGTGGAATAGTTACAGAAGAAATGATCCGACGTTTGGGGTTTGCTTTGGGGTTGGACGTGGGTTGGCTCTTGTGGGTGACGGGCTCAGGGGGGGGTTCGCTGAACTCTCTTCTCCCTTCTAAGCACTAACCATGCCCAACCCTTCTTAGCTTCCGAGATCAGACAAGATCGGGCGCGTTGAGAGTGGTGTGGCCATAGACTACACTGTTAAAAGTGTTCTTTACTTTGGAATAAGGTTGGAAGTTTTCATAATAAACAGTATTTTTTAAAATGGTGGATGTGTTTGAATGGTGGGGATATGTGCGGTTCTTCCGTTGTCTTTATTTCCTGAACTTCCTAAGATGGACATGCAGAGGGCGACATCCCTCATAGCACAGTGATGGGGACCTCAGGTTTGGTGTCACACCAGTCCTGCCTCCCGTTCTCACATCCTGAGGACCGGCTAGACAACACCTCCACTTCACACTATCCATGCCCTCCTCTCCCCACCACTCTTGGCGGGAATAACCCTCCTTCCTTCGTGCTCCCAAATCACGTGATCGTTACGTCCATCGACTCAAGCTGTCAGATTGGATGGTGTGTCCTCCATGCTCAACTGTGAGCTCTTTAAAGGCCTGGAGATTTCCGTTGCTTTTTGGAAGTTAAGGCAAATCCCTTAAAATCCCTTACCTTCTCTGAGCTGGAAGATAGCGATAATAATGCTCCCCTCACAGGACTGCTGGGAGTGTGGGATGGAACGTGCTAGATGGACAAAGCAGGGGAAGGCAGGGGAGCCTCAGTGGCTCGCAGCTGGACACAGCCCGCCCCTCCCCCCACCAGAGGACACTTGGCAGTAGCTGGAGATTTCGGTAGCTGCAAGTGGAAGATGGGGGTGCTCCCGACATCTGGTGGGCAGAGAGGCCAAGGACGCTGCTGCACACCCCGGAATGCACAGGACAGCCCCCACAGCAGAGAATGTTCCCGCCCCAAATGTCAGTAGTGTTGAGGTTGGGGAGTTTTCTGGGTTGTTTTATCGGAGATGGGTACACAGGGCTGTCCATGCCCTGCATGTCGGGTATGAGCTGCAGCCTTCATCCTGAAGAGTGATGAGAAGGTGTGTGGTTACATTAGGTGCACACATAGCCTGTGATGCATTCGATCCACCCCCTTGGTGTGTCCCAAAGAGACGGTCGCCAGGTCTGTAAGGAGGAGCAGGTGGCTGTTTCCAGCGGTGCTCTCTGTGGGCTGTGGGGAGCTGTGGGTAACTTGCCCTAAAGCAATGTGCTGGAGGAATTGGGATCAGATCTAGAGATGAGTTGTGTCAGACTCTGGCCTCCAGATCCCATGTTCCTGGTGTGCATTGCTGAGATTTCCACCGGGATTTAGAAAACAGCAGTGGATGTCCACTGTGGAGTACTTGGCAGCAGTTAGAAACAGTGCACTATATATTCACAGAGCAAAGCAGAACAGCACCCAGGGCTGGGTGAGAAAGTAGGAAAGAGAACCACATATAACGTAGTATCATTTATTTAAATTAAAATATTCACACCAAAACACAACAACATGCATTTTAAGGAGTACATAAAAACAAAAACGATGCATATTAAATACATTTGAATGGTTGCTCACAGGGTGGAAGGGGGAAGGAAAGAATGAATGAATGAATGAATGAATGAGAAAAAACAACCAAGCTCCAAGCCTTGTGTGGACACTCAACACTTGTGCCCCATGAACTGAGAGCAGGAGAGTCTGATTAACTTGGATTCTGCACTGAGATTCTAAACAAATACAATGAAATCACATGGGATCAGCAGCCCAGGCTAGAGGCTGGCATACAGTAGGCGTTAAATAATGAATGGCAGCAATAACCAAAATGATATATTAGTACTAATTTAACTGTTATTAATGGGATAACAGGATAAATTATTACAAACACTTGAGACCATTTTCCCGTCTCTTTCCTCTTCCCCCAGCCCAGGGAAGAGCGTCCAGCACTGAGTTCTAAGGACCCACGGAGGGAGGATATGGAGTTACCCGCCCCAGGGTGCAGGTTGGAAGGAGTCTTTGGAGGACAGGGAGAGCAGGCAACCCGTGGGGACAGTCCCCACACCTGGGAAGGAAATGAGCAAGAGGCGCAATTGGTGGGTTCCTGGAATAGCAGAGATCTCGGTCCCTGGCGGGGCCAGGTGTGGCAGGATGGTGTTCCTGAGGGCGCTGGACACCAGGTGTCCACGTCCCACCTCTGCGAGGCGCCTGGCGCCTATGCCGCTGGACTGCGGATTTCCAGGCACCTGGCAGCCCCTGCCGCCTCGTCCCCCTCGGGTTCCTGTGCAACCCTTGGGGACACTGCGTTTCCCACCCCCCATGTGAGTGGGGGCTCCAACCCAGATTTAATTTGATTTAGAAAGCCAAGCTGACACTTCTCACATCTAAGTGTGGTGGAGTCAAATTCATTCTCACTACACTTTTTCTCTTTGCACCCCACGCGGCCACCAACACAGGAGCTCACACGTACGGCGCTTCAGGAGCTGTTTTGTCGAACAAATGGAACTATTCCCTCCTCCTCTGCAGCTGCTGGGCTTAGACTGGGGGGGGGGTCTTGCCTCCCACTGGCCATTTTCTTCACAGCGCCCTGGGATTATTCAGCCAGGAAACTGGAACGTGGAGGCCAGAGGGTGACACGACCTCATGTCCGGGGTCTGAGCCCGATGCCTCCAGCGCTTTGCTTGGAGTCAGGGTGTTGGGATGGCCGGCTGACCCTTAGGCTCACACTCGGTAGTCAGCCCACACTGTGCCAGTTGCTAGAGAATGGGCATGCAGTGAGGGTCCACACTGGCCGACCTCAGCCAGGAAAACCCGACAAGGAGTCAGGATTAATGTGTAGGGGCTTTCGGGGCATGATACGTCACTGTGCTTTGCATTTAGTGAGACCGTCCCTTCCCCCATCTATCTTGGGACAGGAAGCTGGACTGTTTCTCCGACTACAGAGGTAGGTGCATTGGCCGTGCTGGGCATTTAAAACTGGAGGTGCCAAGTTCTTGTGCGTGCTCTTGAAACAGGACTTGCAGAACGCTGCAAATATTACTAGTTGTGTGGTCACAAGCAAGTCCCTAAACCTCTGTGGGACTCAGTATCCTTCCTTGTACAGGAAGGAAAGAGTTATGCATGATAAGGCTTGCAAAACACCTACTGCGTGCCAAGCACCGCCACCAAGGCTTTATTAAAAAGATTTGCTCTGTAAAATTTGGATTCAGTCAAAAAAAGCCGCAGTCAAGGATCCGGAAGGCCACGCTCAGGTCCCCTTCCCCTAAGCCAACGTTCACATGAGAGAGTGTCTGCATTCAAGATGGTGCATCCATTTTTGGGCGAATCCCAAGCCTACGAACTGACCTTGTAGACACTGTCTAGCCTCGACCATTTAGGACAGGGAGAATCGTTGTGTATTTAATAGGTGATACTCACCTGGGGCCTCTTTGCAGTTTGTTAAATTTAGTCTCATCACCATTTTCTTAACAAAAATAACTTCACCCAAAGTGGACTTTACAGTTTACATAGTGTTTAGATTTTTAAAAATCGACTTCATAGTGTTTTCACACACTGTATTGTATCTGAAATAGAGTGGGAGGGGCACGACTGTGGGTGGATCTAAAACAAAAATGAACATCATGCTACGTGGTCTCTTGATTGCCTGATCAGAAACCTTCAAAGCATTCCAGTCTCATTCTTTTTACAATTGCTGAGTGCAAAATGAATTACTCAAAGACCAGGGGTGAAGGTTGCCTGAACTGTAGAGTCGGGGACCTGAGGCTGCCAGTTCGTTTCTGAGGATCCATCAGCCCTGCTCAGGGCCAGAAGTCCATCCTTGGCCCTGACAGTGGGGTATAGAGCACGTCGGGTCCAGAATGCTGAGTGCCACCCTCCTCCTCCTCAGAGTCAGGTTCCTGCTGCATGCCAGTGAACGCCAGCTCCTTGGGAAAGGGCTCAGGAACAGAGAGGCTGGGCGTGAGCCCATGGATATGGCATCTTGCCCAGGGCACAGCCTTGTCTCAGAAGGCAGGGTCTGTGTGGGCAGGGAGGGAGCAAGGATGGTGCTGAGGGCCTCAGCCTCCTCAGGTGCCCACCCAGCACCATTCCTCTTAAGACACTCACTCTTAGAACCCAGCTGTCATGCTGTGAGGAAGACCAGGCCTCACGAAGATTCTGTGCATAGATGTTCTATGGACAACCTTAGCTGAAGTCCCAGTGGACACCGACTGCTAGACAGGTGAGCATGGAAGCCTTTGAAATGACAGCCACTGTCTGACTCCAACTTCCTGGAAGATCTTGTGTGAGAACCACCCTGCTGAGCCCAGCCAAGCCCCAAACTGTCAGAAATAATCATGATATGATTGTCATTGTTTAAGCTACTAAGTTTTTGGGTAGTTATATGTAGTTATATGTCAATAGATAACTGGAGCACATGGTCCCACCCTGTTCCCTTGCTAGATGGTAGTTTTGGGATAAGCATGTGGCCCAGTTTTGGCTGTTGAGACGTGAGGTAAAGTATGCTGGGGTTGCTTCTAGGAACGTTGTCTTTGTTCCTAAGAAAGGCATAGAGGAAGAGCGAGTCCTTCTCTTCCTTCTGATGCTACTGCATCCTGATATGATACTGGGAATTGCTGTCATCATCCTGCTACCAACCTGAGGATACAGGCATTGGTTCCTCCTCCTCTACCTCCTGCCACTGCCTATCATTTGTGCTCTATTATGCATAAATCTTGTTCTTCCTTGGGGTCCCCCAACTGCCTGATCTCTTAACTCAATTCAACATTCTTTTGGGGTATTGTCTGGGTGCCCCTGGCTAGAGGCAGGGACTGGGTCCACCGCTTGAGCTTGGTTGGGTTGTGCGGGTAAAATCTACAGCCTTTAGAGTTGGGGACAGAGTCTGGGGACAGAGCCTGAAGACGATTTCATCCACCACCACTCCATTATAAAAACAAAAGAGCTGAAGTCCTCGGGGCTGCTGGCAATGCACAGAGGGTACAGAGGTGCCCTGGGGGGCACTCGGGCCTCTGAACCAGCAGGACAGAGGGCCCGAGGTGTGCAAATACCCAAGGACAGGGCCACCCAGGCAGAAAATCTTAGCCCCAGAGCTAGTGGACAGGGAGTCCTGTCTTCACACACCAGAAAGCTGAGGCTGGCCCAGGAAGGTGTGACCTGTCCAAGGTCCCAGAACAGAGGTCTAGGATCCCAGCAAAGGGATGTGAAAATCCAATGACCTTAGCTCTGTTGGAACCAAGGACCTGAGGCCCCCAAGCACCTGTCCTGGGAGACATGGATCCTGGAGAGGTAACTTCTCACTTCCCATCAGTGTATCTATGTACCTGGAACCCAGGTAGCAAAGGGGCCACCACTCAGGCTGCACAGCCCCAGGGGCCTGGCTCTAGCTGACCACCTCTATCCCCGCGGTGGTGGCCACAGAGCCCTCATCTCTCCTATGCCACATGGAGCAGCCACTGCCACCATGGCTGAGCACACATTCGAGGCACTGGCTGGGTCCCAGGTCTGGCCTGTTCTTGCCAGAGCACAAGCACAGTTAGCGGAATCCACCTGCTCATCCACTTCTGCACCCAGTCCTTCCATGGAGTGTTGTGTTCCCGAGGCTAATTGACCTCCCAGTGTCACATTAGCATATGAGAGTAGTTCACTGAGCATGGGGTGAAAGTCAAGACTTGGGGGACCTGCCAACAGGCCGTGTGCCCACGAGACAGATGGTCTGAGCCAGTCGGGCTGCTGGCAAGGACCGCAGCCCAGGCGCCGATTTGCTCAGGACTTAGGTGGAATGCTGCTTCCCCGACCCCTCTCCCTCTAATCCTATTACGATGTCTAGTTTTATGTGTCAACTTGGCTGGGCCACGGTGCCCAGATATTCGGTCAAACATTTTTCTGGCTGTGTCTGCGAAGGTGTTCTTTGGATGAGACTTACCTTGAAGTCAGTGAACCTTGAGCAGAGCAGACTGCCCATCTTAACGTGGGTGGGCCTCGCCCAATGCGGTGAAGGAATGCAACAAACACTGACTCCCCTGAGCAGGAAGGATGCTAGGGCCCCCCACCATCAGACTGTGGTTGGACTCGCCAAGCCTCCACAATTCGGGAGCTAATTCCTTAAAACAAATCTCTCTATATAAATACATCCTGTCGGTTCTGTTTAGAAGGGAGAGTTACCCACATACCAAGGGGGGGGGGGCTCCTCCATGTTGTCCTCTGGGGGCATCACTGCTAAGCCTGTGGCACATGTGGATTTGCCTCCAGCTCTCCCCCTCAGCTCTGTGTGCAGCCTGTTCTGTTCCTTGTTCCTTTGCAGGTCATCTTGTGGTGCTGGGAGTAGGGGGACATCACCAACCCACCCACGGGGCAAGGAGGAGGGTGGAGAATTCCAGATGGGAGGGAACCAATGTCAGAATTGTTTGCTCTTTTCTTTTTTAATTTTTTTCCTTTTTTTTTTTTTTTTTGTAGAGAGGGCGTCTCGCTAGATTGCCCAGGCTGGTCTTGAACTCAAGCGATCCTCCCACCTCGGCCTCCTGAAGTGCCGGGGTGACAGGCGTGAGCCACGGCACCCAGCCAGAATCGTTCCCTTCTAAAGGCGGGTAAGCCCAAGTCATTTTATTCCACAATTCACGACATTTTGGTTTATTGAGGGTGAGAAAATGGGAGCCTCCAAGGTATTTTTTTATACAAAAGACCAGAAAGTGTATCAAGGAAGAGACCCTAATTTATGACTTCTGAGTTGAATTTTACTCTTTAATGTTGGATATAAATCCTTTGATTGAGGTGAGGCTGCAAATAGTCCCCCACTCTGAGATGAACTTACAGACAGAAAGGAAACTGTGACGGTGGTGCAATTATTGACACACTCACCCACCCCCCTCGGGGAGCCGAGAAAACGGCCCAGAACCTGTCCCTAAGATACGTGACACTGCATGTTCCCAGGGTAAGAGCTCCTTCATTAGCAGCTCAGCATCTGGGCCAGTAAAGGCCAAGTTTAATGATGTCACAGTCAACACTCGGCTTGTATTTAAGAGTGGATTCTATTTTTTTCTGTGTGCACAAAACAAGCCTGGTGCAGTGACAGAGAAAGAGTGTTTTAGAGAGAGAAAAGTGCATCTTAGGAGCTAATTACATTGACAAAAATTGGAGTAGAGCACATCTAAACACTTGTCTGGTTTGGAAATGCTACCTAATTTTCTCCAGGCATGCTAACCGATTCCTCTGCTTCCGGGCACAACACGGTTTCGGTATTATCCTGTGAACAGTGTCCAAACAGCACAACCAAAGGGTGCCGGTGGAGGGGGAAGTTGGGCTTCCCAGTTGCTATCAGTTTATAGGCAAGGGTCGAAATCACATATACAAACGCAGTGTGCAGCTTTCCACGTGTGACAGAACTTATCAGAGCTGTGGGGACGTGGGGAGTGAGCCTGGGAACAGTTCAGGCCAAAACCCTCAGAGTAGAAGGGGGTTGACCAAAGATTCTTGGTGAGTTGGTGGCTGAACTGGGACCAGAATTGGCTTCTCTTCTCTTTCCCCCAACCACGCTGTGAGACAAGGAATTAGCCCAGCTATTAATACAAAGCAGCCTGCCTGGTACAGGCTGAACCGTGTCCTCCCCTAAACACATACGTTGAAGCTCTAGCCTCTAGTGCAGGGGTCCTCAAACTTTTTAAACAGGGGGCCAGTTCACTGTCCCTCAGACCGTTGGAGAGTGCGGTGCGCATTCCACACATGCGCACTGTGGGCCCGGGATGAGTCGGCTGCTAAGCAGGACAGGCAGTGGCGGCAAAAACACCCGGCGGGCCGGATGAATGTCCTCAGCAGGTCGCGTGTGGCCTGCGGGCCATAGTTTGAGGACCCCTGCTAGTGCCTCAGAATGTGAGTGGATTTGGAGACAGAGCCTTTAAAGAGTGATTAAATTAAAATGAATCACCTGATTAATTGGGTGGGCCCCAGTGCAATGAACTGGTATCCTCACTAGAAGAGGATTCGGACAGGCTAAGAGACGTCAGGGTGTGGGGGCATAAGGACTATGTGAGGGCGTAGCAAGAAGACAGCCACCTGCAAGCCAAGGACAGTGGCCTCAGGAGACACCAATCCTGCCAACACCTTGATCGTGGACTTTGGTCCTCAGAGCTGTGAGAAAACTAATTTCTGTTGTTTTAGCCACTGGGTCTGTGGTAGCTGGTTACGGCACCCCGAGCTGATCATGCACCCCTCCTCCGAAGGCCGCACACACCAGATGTGCAGCTTTCGGTACCACATGCCAGAGCCCATGTGTTGCCCACTCGGAACCTAATGGGGTCTCACACTTGACCTTAGCCAAGAGGCTGAGAAGCGCTGAACCTAATGGGGTCTTAAAGACAGCAAAAGAAAAGCTGGCACAGCAAAAATACGCAGCCAAGAGAACACAGCATGGCTTTGCTACTCAACATCTCAAAATCAAAAATGTACAAGTTGAGCTGATACCTGGAGAACCACTGGGGTCATGGTCACGGTTCGCCGTGGCTCCCCCACTATTCTCCTCCGGTGGTCTTCATGGAAGGCGATTCCGACCTCCCCAGCTCAGGTTTCCCCCCCAGGCAAATAGGTGTCACGCTGCCTGGTCTTCTGGAGGCATCTGATTTGCCTGCATATGTCCCATACCCAGGGAGTAGACACTACCATGTATTGGGATTAAGTTGGTAACTCCCAAATGTTCACAGGCAACCTCAGGAGAGCAGCTGAATCCCTCCAAGACTGCCTTGTTTAGACTCAAGATGCACCAGGTGTCATCAAACCCAGCTCCAAATCCCAGCCAGCCTCTTTGAAAGCTGCCTTCCTCTTAGGTGGTATAGACATCTGTCTACATCATTAGATTTCAGTAGGGCCTTGGTCTGGAAACACCTCCCTTGCAAGCAGGGACAGAAACAGTGCTTGGGAATGCAAACTCAGACCAGCCCAATTCTAAAAGTCTCGTTGTCAGAATCACTTCTTTGGGTTAAGGCATTAAAGGACCCTATCATATATGTAACCAAAGGGCCATGCTATTAAGACAGCTGCAGCCATTAACACCTCTGTGACTTTATCACTGTGGCCTCAGTCCACCCTTAACCCCTTGGGGCCCAGGGCCCAGGGCCACTGGGAAGAGAGGGGGAAGGGTTCACAGCCCCACTGGAGAGGGCAAGAGCACGGGCAGGTGTGCTGTAGGGAGGGACGTGGGTGGCAGAAAAAGGATAAAGGATTTCAGAAGGAACACTGCTTGCTTGACGTTTTTTGAGCCAGCCCAGACCTCCACGTCAGAGTCACCCTTTGGCCCGATGGCGCAGATCACGAACGAGAGGGCCAGGCCAGGTGGCAAGTGCACGAGTCCTGCTGCGTCCGTGTAAGGAACTGGGCATCTCAGAGCTGGCCTTGGCCTGGGGCCAGGAAGCTGGGAGCGCGGGAACAATATACAGCGGGTCACAGGGGCAGGGGACAGCTGCTGGCTTCCTGGAGCCGCTGCGGTGATTGGCACTCCAGGGGTGGGGCTTCACCCGTGCTCTCAGCCAATCAGCTCGCCCGCCCGCCCCAGGCTCCCACGACCCCAACCCGGCAGCAGGAGCAGCGGGAGGGGCCGTGGGGCGGGTGACAAGCACGGGTCCCCGCAGCTGGGGCCCTGGGCCACAGGCATGGGGCTCGGGGCAGGCCCGGGAGAACAGTCCAGGGCGGGAGGCGGCCGAGGCTCAGCAGGGCGAAGACGACATCTGGTCGTAGTCGGGGCACTTGAGCAAGGCCGGGTAGTTGCTGTTCATCTGCAGGGAGGCGTCGCTGGAGATGTCCGAGGGGCTGCGGCCGCGGACCCAGGCGTCCGGGTGCAGGAACTGGCCCGAGTAGTCGGAGCAGTTGCTCAGCCGAGGGCGGTAGAAGCCAGGGTGGGGCCTGTACATGTCCTCGGCGGTGTACCTCTTCATGAACAGGTACACGGACATCACGCCGGCACTCTACAGGGACGAGAAAGCAGGGAGCGCTCACCTTTGGGGCGCCTGCCTTCGCTGCCCCGGCTGGCTGGCGTCTGCACAGGAGGGCGGGGATTGCATGGGGTGGGACATGGACGTGGGGACAGGAGTGGGGCCCCGGGGACGTCCCGCGTGCAGGAGACCCGGGAAGGTAAGAGCGCTACACCTTCTGGGACAAAGGAGGGAAGGAGAGTGGGTGGCCCAGGATGCGCATGGAGCGACCCCTCCTCCCGGCTTAGCGCCCCCAGCCCGCAGCCTGTCCGGGCTCAGTGGGACCACGGCCTTTACCTCTGTTAAAAGGAAAGAGATGGCAGCGAAGGCAAACGACCACCCATATTTGTAGTTGAAATAGGTCTCTGGGTCCTTGGTCCTGTTGAGCACCTCATCGTTGATGCTGGAGATGTACAGCACGAGGCCCACCACGAGAGAGAGGCCTGCGCGGGGCGGGGGAGCGGAGGGGAGGGGACGCTCAGCACGAAAACCCAGGGAGCTGGCCATGTGGTGCCACCTCCCCTCACAGTTCAGGAGCAAAGCCACCCGCCTTGGAGTGACCAGGCATTCCTGTTGGAGTTCAAGGGAGATCGGGAGTTTCCTCCTGAGGACCACGTTTGGGCCAGCACTTTCTAGACAGCAGATCGTTGGCAGGTAAGGAAGCACCCTGTCCAACTTCCCTCCTGGGCCATGGCCACGCCCAGTGGTTCTCACCCTGCTGTCCCCACCCGTCACACAGATGTGCCTGAGCCCCAGCCCTGGACATGCTCACTCACTCGCCCTGGGCTGGGGCCTGGCACTGCGTGTTCTTAAAAGCTACACAAGTGACACTAATGTGAACCAGGGGTGTGAACCACTGAGCTGGCAAGTGGCTTTTACTACACTGAAGAGTCAAATAGGCCCCTTCAGCAGGGGTAGCCAAGGCCCCCAACCCCTGTCTCCAGCTGTGCACGTCATTGTGGAGTTTGCCAATATGGCCCGTGGGCTGTGCAGCCCACCAGATCACAGGGTGTGGCCTGAGAGCTTTAGGCAGGCAGGGGGGAGAAAGAGAGTTTGTCCAGATGCTGGCAAGCCTTCAACCAGGAGGCCAGGGGGCCCAAACTCCTACTGCCGCTGTGCAAATGACTGCCTCAGGCCCATCAATTAGTAACTGTAATTGAATCAAGACATAATTAATTACTCTGTTTTGAGCTGTTCAGGTTTAATTCCATTTGCATTATTTTATGAAACTGGAGCATCTCGAATGATGAATGTTAAAGGAAAATAGGTGTGATTGAAACTTTCCTTGGTATTTAACTCATGTTGGAATCACTGCTGCCTCAAATGAATGCTCTTTATAATCATTAAAACAGCTTCATGTGGCCCAGCTCAATCCTACATTCTGATCCTGTAGCCCATTGCTGAACCACCCCAGTTGTCTCAAAGCTCCTAGATAGCCTTGGCTGCTGTGAAGTTCACAGCAGGAAAATGATCTTAACCCTGGGTCTGTGATTTGGGACTGGGTCGAACTATCGCCACGCAAAGGTTGGGCTAATGACGTTGCAGGTGCTTCCTGGATACGTTTGGTTTGGTGGATGAAGAGTGGAAGGATGCATTAGTAGATGGAAGAGTAGATGGAAGAGGGGTCAGTGGTAGATTGAAAATGGATGAACAGATGGATGGAAGGAAGAGTGGGTAAGCGTGTGGATGGATGGATAGATGGAAAGAAGGAAGGAGAAAGAAAGAACAGCTCTTGGGCATCAGGCATTCTGCTCCCAGGCTATGTTAACATGAAAATATTGGGGAAAGGATCCTAAAGTGACTTAGGAATCAGGTGACAATCAGAATGCCTAGTACCCAATGGCTGATTTTCTTTCCTTTCCATCCACCCACCCACCCATCCATCTATCCATCAGTTATTCAAGCCACTCGCTGACCCATCTTCCATCCAAGCATGTTCTCCCCAGTGGCCCCTCCCCAATCGACCAGTCCAAGGCACCTAAAATACATGCTCCGAGAGTCACTCCTTTGGTGTGAGTGACTCTCAGGATGGGCTCGCCCGTCCAGCCACTCCTCCTTAGGAACATTGCTCTCCCGGAAGGTGGCGGATGGGCCAGGGTCATCAGAAGTCTCCTCCAGCTCTGACTCAGTTCTTCCCAGGTCACTGGCTCAGCTAGTCCCGTTTCCAGGGCCAGAGGGTCACTGAAAACAACACAACTCACCGGAGAGGATAAAGAAGATGCCGGAGACGAAGGCCAGTATCGTCCTGTGGGGGCGGATGTGTCCAATGTTGCTCAGGATAAAGCCAATGAACATGAAGAAGAGGCTGACCAGCGGGAACGGTGTGGCTGAGCGAATCATCTCTAGGTGAGGGGACAAACGGATGGCCGGTCAGCCTCCGGTGACCTCACTCCCTTCCCATCACCCCAAACCCAGCGTTCCTGGCAGCATCTGCCACTGGGTCCTCAGAGCCCCTGCACCAGCTCCCCGGGCGCCATCCCCCACTGGGTGGCCTGGGGACCTCCCAGAGCTGGCAGGGCTTTTGCCCCTGAGGGCTGGCTGGAAGGCCTGACTTCAGGTGCCAACATACTCAGGCCTCTGTCTATTCCTCTGGGCATAAGGCCCTACAAAAGCACCTGGTCACTCCATCTTGCTTCCTCTCCCAGGGGCAGTCACCATTTCCCTGGGCAAAGGGCTGCTCTGAGTGGCACATGGGACAGTCACTGACCTCTGTCTTATTCAACTTGTGATTACTTAAGGAGCAGTTCTGTTGTATAATAAAGAATTTTTCCGGTCTTCGTCCCTGATTCCTGAGAGATAACCTCTGAATTCTTATCATTTCCCAAGTGATGGGAGTATCTTTGCTATGCATAGTGGGCCCCTTGAGCATGCCTGAGTTTATGCTAATGAAGTGACTCGGAATGGGGGCCGGGAAGACCAACCGTGTGATTAGAGGATTGTGGTCTGAGCCAGGTGCTATAAGCCTGACCCCTGGGGAAGGGAGGGGCTGGAGACTGAGTTCAATCCATCACACCTACAGAATGGAACCAAATAAAAACTCTGGACACCAAAGCTCGGTTGAACTTCCTGGGTGATGAACACATAGATGTGTTAGGATGTGGTACATCCTGATCCTATGGGGACAGGACACTACAGCTCTGCACTGGGGACCCTCCCAGACCTTGCCCTGTGTGTCTCTTCATTTGGCACATCCTGATTTGCATGCTTCATAACAAAACTGTCATGGTAAGTATAGGGGGGCTTTCCTGAGTTCTGTGAGTCTTTCTAGCAAATTATTGAACACGAGGGAGTTATGGGAACTCCTGCATTTGTGGCCAATTGTGGCCTGGGGACCTCTGAACTCGCAGCAGGTATCTGAGGCGAGAGCAGTCTTGTTGAAGACTGAGACCCTTACACCTGTGCAGTCCGTGTTAACTGCAGGCGATTAGTATCAGAATCGCATTGCAGTATTGCAAGCTCAGTCTGGGGGCAGAGCCAACTCTGGTGAGGCTGGGGCCAAGCAGCTAGTCTCACTGGGGTTCCCTGAGTATGGAAGCCCTCTCGCTTGCCCGGGTCACTACAGCAACCTGTCTCCTCCACTGGGAAATTAATGTGCAGGGAGAGCTGGCGAAGCCAGGCCAGCACACCCAGCTGGGCCTAAGGGAATTGGCTCTTGAGAAGTACGCCAGCCACCCTGACTCTTCCCTCTGCTCTGCCCCTCTCCTCTGCAGCCAGTGGCCAGGTGCAAAGTTCGAGGCACCTACTTAGAACATTGACCGTGGACTCGGACGTCAGCTGGGAGTTCATGGGCATCACGTATTCTATGGTGAAGCAGCGTCCCCGCTCCTCACCTGTGGAAACAAGAATCTTTTACGTTTCCAGGTCCTTCTTGAACGTGGATTTGAAGTTAGTCCATTGAAATGGTGTTTCCAGATACATCTAGGATCTTTGACCCACTGTGCCTTTGCCCGTGGGCTGGATCTAAACCCTAGGCAGGTCCTGTCCCCTAGCTGGTGGCCCACAGCAGGGGTGGAAGCACGTCCTGACATCAAATCCTTCCTGGAGAAGCACCTCTGGGAGGATGGACCCAACCACCAAAATCGCATGGAAAGAGGTCGGTGCTGCAAACTCCCCGGGCTGACCGAACGCCAGGTGCCGTCTCACTGCATTTGGACAGATGGGGCTGATGATGGCGCGTGGCTGACTTAGATTCACCAGTGTGGGCTGTCATGGAGCAGAACTCCAAAAGCCTTGTCAACCACTTTGGAAACCAGATCCTGGGGACTTCAAACTCAGCTTCAGATTTAAGCAGGGACTGATGTCACACAGTCTGGGGCAGTGGGAGAACAAGTCGGAACAGGATGCCATTCCCAGGGCAGACTCAACAAGTGAGGCCAAGCCTTTAGATGTTCTCCCTGCCAAATACTGCTGGGCACCAACTGCCACCCAATCCCCCAAAGCTCTATCATCAAGCTGGAGGAAAAAAATCTGGGAGAACCAAATTGTGTCTCTCTGCAATGCACAGGAAGGTTATAGGGTCCTACCAAGAAAAGCCCAGTGACCACACTGTGGCAGTCCTGGCCAGCCCAGGCTGTGGCTAGTCTTGCATGACTTGGAGATGCTTTTGTTGTGCAGTCTAGTCCTGGGCCATGACAAAGGCATAAGAGACAGATCTCTCGGAGTAAGAACTCCAAGGGTCTCAGAGAAGCCTTAGCAAGCAGAAGGGAGGCCCAGATGGGTAGGATCAAAAGCTGTACCCTCTGCAGAGCTGGAGGGACCAGCATCTGTGTATTCCCTGTGCCGTTTCATGGACAGAGGAACAGAGAAACTGCTCAGTATTGCCCACCCTGCAAATCAGTGGGTGCAAGGAAGTTGAGGTAAGGAGACTTACCCCCCCCCATTTGTAAAGTGGAAATAGTAACCAGTCCTGTCTTGCAGTGTTGTTTGGGATATTATATGGGATCAATAGTTCAATGAGCTAAGGTGTGCAAGAGCACTTGAGACCTATACAATGTCATGGTCATTCTCATTCTGTGGGAGCAGAGTGTGGGGAAGGCACAGTCACATTCATCTTCCAGAAGGGAAGACCTGGGAGGCGACAGGACCCAGCCCATCAGGGCTGAAGTTTGCCGCAGGGTCGTGGTCTCTGCAGGGAGCCGCGCCCAGAGTTTATGGGGATCGTCCATGGGGAACTGGCTCCTCCCGGCATCTCTGGGCCACTTCTTCCCAGGGAGGGACCTCTTGGGGGCAGATGATCCTGGGGTGGGGGTGGGGTGTCCCCAGTGCGAGGTGCCCTTACCTGCAAGGAAGCAGACCCGCCAGAGGCCTGAGTGCAGGGACATCCTGATCTCCGTGCTCTGGTTCTGAGGCAGGACCACGCCCTCCTCCAGGTACAGCCAGTAGTCGGTGCTGACCGCTATGCCCAGGAGGCCCAGGCCGCAGACGGCAAAGACGCTGCTCAGCAGGGTCAGGGCCTTCCTCCCGCAGGTGCTCATCTTCGCGGACCAGCACTAGGTGGCCACTAGGCGGCCGCGCTCCCGCCAGCACGGAGGGGATCTGGGGGCAGGGAGAGAGGGTGGGCAGCTGGCAGTGGCCACAGCTCTGAGAAGACCGAGATGAGGAGCCAGTAACTAGAGTCAACCCTGCCCGGCTCAACAGATGGACAAAGACCACCAGGCAACTCCCTGGATGCCAGGCCACCGTGACACAGCTGCCACCCTCTTCCTCCCCACTCAGGAACTCACAGCTTTCTTGGCATGCTGCTGCAAGGGCCCCCTTGTCCTCTCTGGAAGTCCCCTTTGCTAGGTACTACTATTCATTCATTCATTCATTCATTCATTCATTCATTCATTCATTCATTCATTCAGCAGTCCATTGTGCCAGACATGGGAGATGCAAAAATGAACACGACACTATCCTTGCCCTTGAAGGGTCCCCCACCTAGAAGAACAGAGGTGCCCCCAAGTGCAGCCCAGTGAGAGCTGTGGCTGAGACCTGCCCAGGAAGCAGAGAGGAAGAATGGAGGAGAGAACTGTGCTGGGTGGGCTTCTCTGTGTTGAGAAGGATTCTGAAGCTCAAACACAGCCTTGTGAGAGCAGCGGGCCACAGAGGGAGAGGTGGCAGCAGCCCTGGGAAGAGGCAGAGGGGCAGGGAGGGCTTCTTGGGGGGCATGTGTCTTCCTCATGTGACTTTAATGGGTTGTAGGACTGGGTCAACACATGAAGCCACACCTCAGTCCCAGGGCAATGGAATCACCTAATCCAAATCGGCCTGACCCTTGTCCGCACAGCACAGCATAGTGGCGGGAGCCGGCTCTGGACTCAGAGAGAAGCTGAGTCTATGCCAGCTCTCGGCCAAGAGCACACCCACTGACGCCCACCAGGGCCAGGCACTGGGGTTGGGGCTGGGCCATGGTGGGGGGCAAGGGAGATGCAGGCCACGCCCCCGCAGAGCCACGGCCAGGCTCAGCGCCTCTGTGGCTTTCTGGCTGCGATCTAGAGCCACCTAGGGAGCATCTAAACATCCCTGATTCCTGGGCGCCGCTCCAGGAGACTCTGATACAACTGGATTCACAAGGGGGCTGGGCAATGGTATTTTTTTAATGCTCCCAGGTGATTCTAATGAGAACATCTGATCTCTGCTACTCAAAATGTGGTCCGTGGGCCAGCAGCGTCAGCATCATGGGAGCATGTTAGAACAGACTTCTCACTTCCTAAATTGGAATCTGCATCTTAACAGGATCCAGGTGAGCTGTCTGCTTGCTAACATCTGAGAAGCACCACGCCAAGCAAACAGGCGGAAAGCATCAACGTAGCAGCTGCTGTCATGGTGAAAGCCCGGATATGATGATAACCCAGAAGGGGGCCAGGTGCGGTGGCTCACGCCTGTAATCCTAGCACTTTGGGAGGCCGAGGCGGGCGGATTGCTCGAGGTCAGGAGTTCAAAACCAGCCTGAGTAAGAGCGAGACCCCGTCTCTACTATAAATAGAAAGAAATTAATTGGCCAACTAATATATATATAGAAAGCATTAGCCAGACGTGGTGGCACATGCCTGTAGTCCCAGCTACTCGGGAGGCTGAGGCATCAGGATCGCTTGAGCCCAGGAGTTTGAGGTTGCTGTGAGCCAGGCTGACGCCACGGCACTCACTCTAGCCTGGGCAACAAAGTGAGACTCTGTCTCAAAAAAAAAAAAAAAGGAACCCAGAAGGGGTCACCCAACGGGGGTGGAGGGGCAGGCAGAGCCATCTCTAGGAGAGTGTGGGGCCTGGGGCAACTTAAACAGGGTGTCTGAACCAAGCTGTCATGGTCACAAGGTGGCCACACTGTCAGCATCTTTCTGGCCCCTTGTAATAGAGCAAAGTCAGAAATTTTGAAAAGGGATGTTAATGATGTTCAGGAAAGAGGTTCAGCAGTGCCTTGGTGGGGTCCCCCAAGCTCAAGGCCTCGGTGGTGTCCTGGGGCCCTACCCAAGGGATGGCGTCTTATCCCAGCTGAGCTCCCAGGCACAAGTGGATATTGAGATAGCTGACAAGGGACAGAAGCCAGATTCCTGTGCAGAGTTTGAGCTCGCTGTGGGGCGGGGGCCCGGGTCGCTGGGTGGGGGAGAGCGGGGGAGATCAGTGAGGAGCTGTGGCCATCCTGGCTCTGGTTCCACTGCACCCTTCCCGGCAGCTGACTGTGGGAGAGTTGATTGATCTGCAGAGTGAGCCACACGCGGCTTCCTGGAGACCTGTGATGGTGTGTGTTCACCGTGTTTGCAAGGCTGGGGAGGGGTTTAAGCCGCGACAATCCTTCCTGCGTTGTCTTTGACAAAGAAGGCAGAAATGGAATGTAAAACAGCCAGCCCTCCCCGCCCGGCCAAATCGTTCTCCACGCAGTAGGGTGGGCGGCAGAGCAGGGCAGCTTGTATCTAATGCAAACATCTAATAAAGCACCGATAAGCCCTGGGCTTGCTGCTGCGGAAGAGGCGACAGATTCAGGGCCACTGCTGCTTGCAGAGTTCCCAAGCTGGGAAGCTGTGCAAGGTGGGTGACATCACAACAGCAGAACCCGGTCCGAGGAGAGGGTGGCAGGGCAGGCACGCAGAGCCCCAGGGAAACGCTGCCCTGCAGGTTGGTGGGAAGCGGTAGTGATGTCGTAATGGTAATGAAGATTTTCATATCAGCTAAGCACTTTCACTTACACTTGAGGCTCACAAAACCCCAGCATCTGCTAGAGGAAATGGGACTGGAACCCTGAGAATGGTTAGTAGCGACCAAGGAAGCAGAGAACAAAGGGATACGACTCCCCGAGAACAACAGCACGTATGATGCAAAGTGCCTTGAACTGGGAGCCAGGAAAACTGGATTTGATACTCAGCCGTGCCACTAAATATCTGTGTAATGTTGGAAATTAGCCTCTCTGCTGTGGTTTGGATATGGTTGGTTTGTCCCCACCAGAGCTCATGTTGAAATTAGTCCCCCTCTCCCTGCTGTGGCAGTGTTGGGAGGTGCTGGGTCTCACTTCTGGCGGTAGTGAGTGAGTTCTCGCTTCCTGGAGACTGGATTAGTTCAAAGGAATGAATTATTTCCCGTGAGAATGGGTTGCTATAAAGCCAGGACGTCCCTCATGTTTCCTCGGTTCCTTATTGATCTTCTCTGCCATGTTGTGATACTGCGTGAAAGTCCTTGCTGGAAGAAGCCAGTGCAGTGCCCTTGAACTTCTCAGCCTGCAGAACCGTGAGCTAGATACACCTCGTTATAAATTACCCAGGCTTAGGTATTCTTTTATAGCAACACAAAATGGACACTAAGACACTCTCTGAGGCCCATTTTTCTCCCAGATAACACAGAAGAAGAGAATAATAATAAAAGCCAAAGTATGGTGAATTGAATGTTTACCATTGTTAGGCTCCTGCTAAGCACCTTGCTCTCTACTCTAATCCTTACAATTCTATTACTGTCCCATTTTACAGGTAAGCAAAGCAAGGCTAAGAGAGGCTAAGAAACTTGCACAAGATCACTCAGTGAGCAAGCGGTGGTGCCTGCATTTGAACCTCACCTTGCCTCGCTCCCACACCCTTTCTCAGACCACCCCCACGAGTGTGTCCAAAGTGGGTTCCGTGGAGCAACAGCTTCGTGCAATATTCTAGATAAGAGGACTCTGGTGAAAAACAGCTTGGGAAGCACTGCACCTAGCTCTTAAAGGACCACATTGCACATTAGGTTAAAGGCTGGAAAAGCCTGTTTAGCTTTGCTATTCCAGTACTTTCCACACTTATTTGACCACAAAAGGACATCGAGTTCTGTGAAACCCACTTGGGGAACCCTGCTGCCCCCCATCAAGAACAACAAGCCCTGCCATGCTCACTCCACAAAAATTGCTGAGGTGATTAAACACAACAGCAGATACGACTCTGCTTTGAAAAACACCTAATGCGTGATCCTGGCATAAGGCATTATTAATAGTATTATTAAGCAACAATGGACTAAGCCCCTGCTTCTCACAGAGAAAATGGATCAGAGCTTCTGAAATACGATGGCTGCTGCCTGGCCAATGCGGAGCGGCCCGCTTTAATGTTAAGCGTGGCAGAAAGATGAAAGAGATTCGAGTCTTGGAGATTTGGGAAGATGAAAGGGGACAGGAGATTGGATGTGGATTTACAAAAGCAAGAAATAAAGGAAGAGGCTGAAGGTGACCTTGCCTGCCGAACTCTACAGCAGCAGACCCTGAAGTCTAGAGTGTGCTTAGGAAAACCAGAGAGTCTTACCCCTTTCCAGAGTATGCAGTAAATTTATAGAATGCTACATGGGGTGAAAAAGAATCATATTCATTACAAAATTATATTTATGCTTCTATTATGTAATCATATATATATATATATATATATTTTTTTTTTTTTTTTTTTGAGACAGAGTCTCGCTTTATTGCCCAGGCTAGAGTGAGTGCCGTGGCGTCAGCCTAGCTCACAGCAACCTCAAACTCCTGGGCTCAAGTGATCCTGCTACCTCAGCCTCCTCAGTAGCTGGGACTATAGGCATGCGCCACCATGCCTGGCTAATGTTTTCTATATATGTATTAGTTGGCCAATTAATTTCTTTCTATTTATAGTAGAGACGGGGATCTCCCTCTTGCTTTGGCTGGTTTTGAACTCCTGACCTTGAGCAATCCACCTGCCTTGGCCACGCAGAGTGCTAGGATTACAGGCGTGAGCCACCTCGTCTGGCCGATATTTATTTATAAATAAATAATATTATTTACTAAGTATCCATCAGCTACCAGGCACAATGCAGGGCCCTTTATGTACAGTACTGTTTTCATAACCAAGGAACTAAATTAAACATTAGAGCAATCAATTCTCCAGTCACTGATCTTGTACACAAAAATGCAGGGCTCCAGCTAACTCCTGGGTTAGAGACGCCAACATGCAATGTCAACACGTCCCTTTGGAGATTGGGGCCCAGAAGTACGACAGCTTTGAGCTTTTTAAGATGATTACCAGGTGCTTTTACCTCTAAGTATTAGCTTGTTAATTATCAGGAATAATTATCAGATGCTAATTATCATCCATGACTAGCAATTAGGGAGAAATGTCTTGTGGAGATTAAATCACTAATGGCAGATTCCCCTGTGGAAGCCAATAATAAAAGGATTTGCAATGAAGTGCTTTAGGTGCCCAGAAGCAGGTGAGGTTACAGGCGCAAGTGCGAGCCCAGCTATCAAAGTACTGGAGAGAATGGGTGGGATTTAATGGAATAAAAGGAGAAGGCTGGAGAGAATGGGTGGGATTTAACTGAATAAAAAGAGAAGGCAGAAAGACAGTCAAATGCAGACACCCTGATCTCAGCTCCTACTAGTCCAGAGAACCCCAGGAGTGCTGTGATGGAGGGTGTGGGGTACAGTGATTCTTGACAGAGCTTGGGAGCCAGTTACAGCATCAGCTTGGCCAACACTCAGTAGGATGTGCTGGTGACCAGAGGACAACTCCCAGTGGTCCTATGGCCCCGCCTGCTTCCTGCCGTGCTGTTCCCTGTTAGCATCTATGGTGGTGAAAAAAATGACGACAAATTCTTTGACACTCCTCCCTTTGAGGAATGGGGTCCACATCCTCTCCCCCTGAGTCTCTGCAGGTTCGTGACTGCATTGACAAATAAGGTACATGGAAGAGATGCTATGCAACCTATAAGGCTAGGTTGTAAAAGGAGATGCACATTCTACCTAGTTCTCTTGGGGGCTCACTCCGGGGAAGCCAGCCCCCACGTAAGAAATCTGACTACCCGGGACCACCATGCTTTAGAACAGGGCTTCTCAACCTCAGCCCTACTGGCATTTGGGGAGGAAAATTCTTTGTCTTGGGGACTGTCACGTGCATTTCAGGATGTGTAGCGGTATCCACAGCCTCTATCCACCAGCTGTTAATAGCACCCCAGTTGTGACAGACAAAAATGTCCCTTCAAGGGCAAAAGTCACTCCTGGTTGAGAACCCCTGCGTTAGAGGCTACGTGCAGGTGCTCTGGTGGACAGCTCAGCTGAGCTTCCAGCCAATGGCCAGCGTCAGCTGCCAGCCCTGGGATAGAGCCGTCCTGGATGGACGTCCAGCCCAGTCGAGCCTTCAGATGACTGCAGCCCCCGCCAACTTCTGACTGCAGCTGCGTGAGACCCCCAAGCAAGAACTGCCCAGTGGGGCACTCCCCAAATTCCTGACCCATAAACTCATGAGCAAAATTAAAGTGTTATTTTACATCATTATGTTTCGAGGTAATTTGATACACAGCAGAAGTTACCAAGATAGCTTCCTGACTCATTTAATTAGCATCTTCTTCTCACTGCCAATATACGACATAAATTCTAGGCATGGCCTTGTCTGGAATGTGATTTTGTGATGGAGAGCCTGAGTACCATATTAATAGTTTAATCCCTAAAATTTACAGCTGCAGGGGGCAGTGAATGGCACTCGGGATTAGGCCAATCTGAGTTGTCATGCCGGCTCTACCACATGCCATCCTGGGCAAGTCAGATCACCACTCTGAACCTCAGTCTCTACATCTGCAAAACAGGGATAACTTTGTAAGAGTTATTGTGAGGATTTATGAAAGTGTAATCCAATAAGTCTGAGCTACTTCGTGCTGTCTCAGTACAACGCTGCAATGAGAAGGTAACACAATTTGACACCCAAACAGCAGTAAACAATGAGCAGATTTAATAAGGTAAATTTGGGCAAAATGGCCCAGACTTCCCCATCTCTATCCAGATTTCCAACCTTTCTCTCACGATGGCAGTTCCACCCCTGGCAAATTTCAGCCCTCCTGTCTCCCCTCTCATCTCCGCATCAACCAATTCGAGAGACTTTAGGAGTTTTCTCATGTGTGAAGTAGTAGGGACAGTGGCACCTCTGTAGACACACACTACAGTGTTAGCAAACTCAGGTCACGTGCTTACTAACTAAATGTCAAGCACAGCAGGGGCCCAGCATCAGAAAGGGGTGGAGACCTCGAGGTGTCATTACAGTCCTGCTCTCCTGACTTGGGACCCTCTTAGAGACGCTGGTCCCACCAAGTGGTCACGAAGCTGCTGGCTGGAGGGAGAGGGGGTCCTGCTGAGTGGCCTGTTTCCCCTGCTGACCCCACCCAGCTCTCTGCCCATTACTGATGGGCTTTGGAGAGTTTGAGCATTTCTGGGCAAGGATCCTCTGTTCTTTGACAAAAGCGAGACCCAAGGAGGATGCTTTCTGCATTTCAAGTGCTCTCCGCCCCAAGACTAAGAGCAAAGCCACAGCCTGTCTGTCTGCCAGGAGTCCAGGCCACAGAGCTGAGGATACAAAACTCTGGCCTAACCCTGTACCATCGTGTCCCCAAACCTTCTAGAGTGGGTGTCAATGTCTCGTCCTTGGTTTTGCAGGAGGTAACTGGTGGGCCAGGGGCATTGTGGGCACCCACCAAGGGTACTCACTGCCCTTATCAAAAGAAGTCTAGCTGAAGTGACAGCTGACCATGACTTTATTGAAGGTCCAACAAGATACCTTACAAAGTGTCCACAATGTTTCTCCAAATGCATGGCCACAGGCACCAAGCCAAGTGGGAGGGCCACCTAACCAGGTAGCACTAACCAAGTAGAGATAACAGTAATCATATCATTAATATTACTTGCTGCACAGAATTTTTCTATGCATTAAAAACGGGATCATACTGCACATACCATAGTATAGCCTAATTTTATTTTACTTACTAGCATCAATATTTTCTATGTTATTTTTAGTGGCTTTGGGATATATATAGACTCTGATTTGCATATACAAAACTGATATAGCCATTTCCCTACTGTGGAAGAGCTAGGTTGCTTCCAAATTTTCCCCACTGTAAACAATAATACATAAACATACGTATAGCTAAATATCTGTGGGCATCTGTATTTTCTCAGGATAAATTCTTGCAAGTGAAATTTCTGGATTAAAGGATAGGAATTGTTTTAGCACTCTTAGAGATATTGTCAGAGCGGATGTGAAACATTTCAAAGTCATTTTAGCCCTGATGCTCGAAGTACCCCAATGGTCCTGCTGTGAGGACACAGAGAATTCCAAACCACCCACATCAGAAGAGTCCCTCTTCTGCTGAGAATTTGGCGCCTGGGCTCTGCTCAGCTGGGATTGCTATGTTTGCTGCACCAACATGATTTGCTAATCTAAGGCCTCCCATGTAAAGCAAAATGTCTCATATCAGTGATCTGAAACTTTTTGAGGCACATAATCATCATCACCTGTGCAAGACTGTAAACACATGCATGCCCAGATTAAGACCAGCTAAAAATCCATTAGAAATAATACATGAATCGAGATAAATGGCCAAACACAAAAATAACATAAAAAATCAACAGCTCTACACAAACAGTAGTCCATTGAAAAATGTAATGCAGGGAAAAAAAATCCTATGTATGTAGCAACAAAGTGGTAAACTATTGGAGATAATAAGTTTTGCGCTGGTGCTATTAATACATTAAAACAATCTCTAGAACTATTGAACATAAAACATAAGATTGATAAAACAATATATCACATTTTTAGATAGATAAAATGTCATAAAAATGTCAACTCTGCTGTAAATTAATCTATGGATTCAATGCAATGTGCTCTCTTTAGAGGATAACACATGATTCTGGGGTTAGTCTAAAGAAAGATACATTTGAGAATAGCCAGGAAAATCCTTTTAAAGATGAAGATAAATGAGTGAGAAGTACCAAATATTTATGCTTATTATGCAGCTACAACAATTAAAACATTTGATGCTGATGAAAAAAAATAAATAGCCAATGGAAATAGAGAGTTTAGACTTCTATTTCTGGCTCTGATGAACTAGGTTATGTAGTCTTAGACCAACCCTCCTGCTGGAAATAACTAAAACAGTTGGATAAAATCTGTTGGAAGACATTGAGCAATCAAGGAAACCGAGATTTGAGAGGTCAAGAACTGAAGATAAAGGGAATGTGTAGGGATAAGCCTGGCATTTCGTACAACTTTTCCACGTGATGTTCGTGCCAGTGTGAGTCTGAGAGGCTGAACACAGGGCTGTGCAGACCTGTAGCAGTCTCACGATTCAGCGGAGTCAACATGCCATCTCAGAGCTTGCCAAGGAGGACAGATCTGGTAAATATCTCAGTCCTGGATCCTGGTAACACTCATCTCTAGGTGAACAAGTAACAGATCAG